TGTGTTCTCAATCTCTTATTCTATTTTAAAAGGGAAATATCGGGGGTCTGTTTAGACCCCTAATATTTCCCCAAAGCCCCTAAAAGTAAAGTAAAAAAAAAAAAATATTTAATAAAAAATGATAACAATAAATATAGCAAAATGTAAAAGTTTATAAAAAATAAATTTAAATAGAATATTAAAAAAAAAATTAAAATAAAAACATTTTCGGTTTCGGCCTGACAATTTTTTCTATTTCGGTTTTTAAATTTCTATTTCGGTGCACCTCTACTGCAAATGGTCCCTTGGAAGCCCGCGCCCAACCGTCCCCCTGCATGGACGTCACTGCTCTTCTGGATCCTGAGAGGACGAATAAGAAGTGTCCATGTCATCCAGGCAGTGATGTGGACACCCAAAGAAGGACCCGGCAGGAAGTACGCAAAGGAAGACAGAAGAGTCAAGACCTAAATATCACGTAGCATAAGACAAGTTAAAAGGGCTTTTAAATGGGGTTCTTTTTTCATCTGGAGAACAGTTAGGGGGGTAGGAGGTTCGTGGAAATTATTCTGGAGATGAGCTTTAAGGGCCCATTTACTTATTTGGGGTCCGCGAACACAAAATCGCTCAATCATTTAAAATGATTGGGCTGCCAAAACACCCTAACATGCTGCCCTACCATTTATGGTACAAGTATACAGGACTTTTTTAGTAGCCTAATTATCTTACCAAAATTGCTAAGAATAGATATCGATTGCTAGAGAGATGAAATGGTTCCTTATGATGTAAACTACACAGGCAGCATGTAGTAATGATTCATCTCATATGCTCACACAAAGCTCTATACTTTACCAATGATCCCTCAATGCTTCTTTCTCCTTCGCATCTCTCACAATACCATCACAACACCCAGCCACTTATGGATACAGAGGGACATGGGACCGGGGGAGTTATGTCATCAGGCCCCTGGGTTACTGACATACTGCTCATTCCTTTTTTTTTTTACAGACAAAAAAAGTTAAGAAACACAAGTCAAGCAATATGTACAACATCAATCCAACAATTCCAGGATCTACCCCGCCAGGCACACTCGCAGCGAGCTATCCCTCCACCTTCAAAAGAGGATATCATAATGATTGTAAAGCACTGTGATTAGCTCGAGAAAATCTAATGCCATCCACCCAACTCGAGGAGTGTCAAAGGGAGCTCAGGAAGCAAACAGGATAAAGCAGAGCCTTCCGAGTAAGGCCCTGGGGAGGAGACCCAGTTATCGAAGCTGCTCATTCTAATGCAGGCATCAAAGGAGGAAGGAGAGGCAAAGGGATCACTAGTATGGTAAATAAATGAAGGTCAGGCCTTTTGTAGAGACTTCGCCCTACATGGGTATGGTCAAAGTGCCTCTTTAAAATCACTGGTATTTCTTACTTGAATCACTCTGTTCATAAAGGCACAAATATTTCCTAGTATTAAAGAAGTTAAAGTAGATAAAAATCCTAACTGAACAATACATTGCTGAAATGGCCATCTGTAGTCTTCATTGGAAGCGTGAGGAGACAGGGTGACAACGGAGGAGACAGGGACAGAGCTTTAAATTTCAGTAGAAAGTCACTCGCACTCCTAAGCGATGCCAAGTCAATCTCTTATTGACTATGGTAGTGTAACATCTCAAAGCAACGTTTTGGGAACCCAGTGGTCCCTTCTTCAGGCAAACATTTCCTTTTTGCCTGAAGAAGAGACCACTGGGTTCCGAAACATTGCCTTGAGATGTTACACTACCATAGTCAATAAAGAGATTGACTTGGCATTGCTTAGGAGTGCGAGTGACTTTCTACTGAAATTGATATGATCTGCGGAGGCATCTGCTGTCATACCCACTGCTTTTGGGCTCTTCCGGTCAGGAGTGGGATGGCATACACTTGGTCTTAAGGGACAGAGCTTTGTCCCCCTAGAACAGGAAGTGTCTAGACAACGACCTTCATGGCAGCTGCAGAATTACAAATATTGAAAATACATTAACGTGTTAAAACCTATGAGATTGCAGTCATTACATAGAATATAATATATTGTTACTAATAGATGCATAAATAAATAATGAATATTTTGGAAACATGCACTGCAATTTAAATTTCACGCTTTATGCAAATGTTACTGACCCAAAAATAGTTTTTCATGGACCATAGGCTCAAAATCTACACGCAGCTGAAAGATTGTATGGAAGTAGCAGGAATAGAAACCTCGGCAAACCAGAAACCTTGTAACAGAGATCTGATACAGGTACCATTGTCAGAATTTGTGTCTGGCTACAATGCTTTTCTAAGCAGCTAAAAATTGATCAGAAGCTGCATTGGATAACAGGAGTAGCTACTGAAGTTGGTGATTATGTCGCTAGCTCCAAACCATCAACTGTTCATCAATTCATCAACATTGCTTGAAACTTAAGTGACACAGGCATTTCATTGACTGCAATTCATTTTTTCCCAGCAACAAAAACACACAGAACAAATCTGTAGCTGCTACAAATCAGTGGAGACAGAAGAAACGCTGGCCGCACACCGAAATCCACTGGGATAGTTTAGTGAAGCTTGTACCACATCACTGTTTTGTTTTTTTTTGTATTTCAACTTTGTATTTAATGTTGGCTTCAGTTTTGTGGTTTATTTACAAAAGATTGATATACTACCCCAACAACAGACTCAACGAGCACTCTCAAAACGAAAGAAAGATTATATATATATATATATATATATTAGGAAAAGCAGAAAAAAAATGGGGTCTCACTGTTTGTATGGACTGGTATTGGAGCGGTAAGCAATTGACTCATTCCTTCTCTGGAGGAGTGGTGCTTATTTTGTGTGTTCTCCTTGCTACAATCATTGCTACAAAATTGCCACCATCACATACATATCTTTTTATATTCAGCCATGATATATCACATTTACTATGTTTTGACACATGATACGCACATGATACGCACAGTTGGCATTACAATGTAGAGTACAGAGTACAGTGTGACACAGAGAGAACTCAGTTTAGAAGACAACAGCCAAAGAAGTCTTCCGGCTCCATCAGGCACAATGAGAAGAATGTGGGTGAGATTTACAGAATCATGCAGCAAGTTTTCCATTCTATGCCTGTGCCGTGTTCTTGGTTTAGGACAGGGGTAGCCAAACTCCGCCCTCCAGCTGTGGTGGAACTACAAATCCCATGAGGCATTGCAAGATTCTCACAGACATGACTCCCGGAGAGAGATGCATCATTGGATTTGTAGTTTCACCACAGCTAGAGGGCCGGAGTTTGTTTACCCCTGGTTTAGGAAACGCCGTGTGGGGGCAGCGGGACCGGGAACATTAATACTTCTTTTGCAGAGTGGATGGTTTAGAATTTTCCTTTAAGGCAGAAAAAAATAAAATAAATATTCATGTCTTTTGCACTCAGACACCATGTCATCATCTGTTTTTACCTCTATGACTAGCACGTCTCAGCTTACCTTGGCATCACTACCTAATGACAAACTGACCTATAGTAACCACTCAGCAAGTGAAGTCAGAAGGGTCTATATACAAGCTCCAGGTCAGTGGCATCTTTATGCGGATCTCTAGGCAAATAAAAAATGTTTTAATTAGTTTTGGATAGAGTGGGGGAGGGTTAGACCCTCTGTTATATTTTTATGCCATCTTTTTTCCCACTGGGGAGATTTTCCCATCTATTTGAACCAATGATTACTGTCACCAAGAAATAAAGTGAGTGCAAATCCAACATTTGTCCCAAGAACAAGCGGTGAGGGGAGATCATCCCATAGTGTTCTGGTGAAAATTGGCTAAGATGGGAATTCCCATCACTTTTGGAGATTGCCTCTAACTTCCTGTTGCATCTCTGGGACAGGAAGTGAAAGGAAATGTTCT